GAAGTTTTTTTTTCCTATAATCATTTGCCATAAAGCAACACCACCGGCTTAAGAGATTTGAAGCTCACCATTCTCTTGGAACTTCGCGAACACTGGCTAGATTGAACGCGCCACACAGTTAGCAAGCGGAGCTCAGGACATGGGCAAAGTCTTCTCTCGATGTGCTCATATCCAGACAAAATTTATACAAGAGACAGATCATAATCTGTACAGCACCACCGGAACAATTGGGTGGTGAGAGTGTTACGTCTGTTTTTTTCAGCCGGGACCGGTCCTCTGTGCATTCCCGGGTTCAATCTCGGCCCCCCAAGGGAAAAAGAGAGTGTCCCAGGGGACAACCTGAGCCCCTGGTTTTCAGTCCAGATGGCTGGCCAGGGCACCCGAGAGGACCCCCTCTTATTGATTTAGGGGGGAGAACAGAGAACCTGGCTTTGCTTTGGGCGCGGGCGAGCACCGACTGCACCGCGCATGGCCGCTCCTCGGCTCCCCCCCTTCCTCCCGTTTCATCCCCCTCTCAGGTTATCGCCGCCGACCCGAGGGGAAGCGATCAGGGGAAGTGCGAGGCGGCGGGAAGCCGGGGCGAGATATGAATATAAGTCGACTGATTTAGCAGGTCGGATGTAAAACGGGTCACACTTTTGCAGGTCTAATCCCCTGTTCTCCGCCGGTGAAATTGTGCGCTGATATGAGACGGTATCGGCTGCCTGGAACCAAATAGAGCCGGAGCGGTGCAGGTCTTTGTTAATACAAAGCGCTGCTCAGCTAGTGAGCAGCCCAGAGATGTGCAAGATAAGATTTGTAGAAACACATGAAAGGGGACATGGCTATAAATATGTATGCACCCCTTGGAGTGGAGCCCTTTCTGTTTGCCCATTAGTACAGTTTTTGTGATACTGTCTACCTATTGCCATGGCGGTGACACATATAGCAGTCAATTATGTTCCCCACATTACAATAGGAGGTATAACTGACTGAACACACAGCCGGCGCTGCATAATGTGAATAGTTGAAGGAAATCATACGGACATCATTCCTGCGAGAAGGGACACTGTTAGGGAAAGAAATGAAAGGGAAACGTTGCAGATCTGAGGAGTTTGACTCCAGCGCCGACACGGCGACTGATGGCACACGGTAAACGGAGACCTCTGGGGAGGGGAGTGATTATTCAACCACTGGAGGGGTTACATTTGAGGCGTTTTTCAAAGCGCTTGAATGTTAATATTTAAAATGTCCACATTTTTAGATTTAAAAGAAAGGAAAGATCAGCTATAATTCCTTTACTTTGCAGGTGAATATTTTCCTCCCCAGCAGAGGCCCGTTGATCACTGAACACGGAGCTCACTGCAGAGTATTAGGACCTCATAGCAGATGATATTTGTCAATATTGTCGATTAGCCCTGAAACGGATCCCCTTCGGGGGGAGGTGAGGTATCTGTAACCAGACGCCCCCGCGCACCAAGACGAGGTGCACCTCTGCGCGTGCTCTGGAAGACGACCACGTGCACCTTGTGCAGCAGTTCTCCTGCGTTGTGCACTAATGAGCCTAACGAGCTGCTGTTTACCTCCTTCAGCTCTGCTGCCGACACCTGAGGCATGCTGGGAGTTTTGTGTTGAGTCCTTGTCCATGTGGTCCACATGTGGGATGAAGCATGTGACTGTTCACCGATTAGAATCAATTCTAAATATACCTTTAAACACATGCTCCTCGGTGTGTGTGTGTGTGTGTGTGTGTGTGTGTGTGTGTGTGGTGATAATTGAAGCCCACTCGCTCCTGTGGGAGTCGGCTGACGTGAGCTTTAATGCTTCAAGGTGTGTATTGTTTGTATCACACACAAACATACACAAACATGAAGCCAGTCTGTGGACCTGTGGAGGGAAACCAGAACCTTCTGAGAAAGATCCTCCTGCATCTCCTTCAGAGAAGAGAGGAACGTTCTTCACTTCCATTCTCTTACTGAAGTAAGTTCTTATTTTAATAAAAATATGTCAATGTAAGTCAACAGGAATGTCAAATGTGTTGCATTCCACATCTTGTCTTAGATCAACGTGGTTTCTGTCCCGCCGCATCTTCTTCATGCTGAACGTCTTCATAAAGCTGACAACGTTCTGCAACGGCTCTTCTAATAAAATATCCCTTCGGTGCCACTAAAGCACGATTAGGGAACTTGAATCTCGTCTTTACTAACTGCCTTTGTTAAGCAACTCGACGAAATAAGGTTTCACCGGACAGAAACCAGCCAGCAATTATGTCTCATGCAAACCCAATTAGTAGCAAGCGGCTACATGCTAAGTAGTGGAACCACCGACCTGTGAGATCCACCCACAAGAGGCCGCGACGCCATGACTCACCTGCTGAAGCAAAGCGTCGCCACATCGGTTTGGAGCCCGGGTCCGTCGCCCCGCCGTCCGTCCGCTGCGGTTATTTAGTGCCTGGGGGCCGTAAAAGGCGGTTTACTGCGCTGCGAGGCTGATGTGTACACGCAGGGAGGTTTGTAGGTCACGGCTCGGGGCGACACGCCATTGTTCTGTGTGCCGCAGTACAAGGTGTATTAAACACACACATATGCTCCTAAATGAATATTTAGATTAGTCTGTCCTGGAAACATTTGAATATCACCTCGAGCATTGTTTAGCTTATCTCCCCCACCACCGCCGCCGCCGCCACAACCCGCCTGTATGCCTCGCTGTCTTCTGGGGGGGGGCGTGTGCTCAGTGATGTATAATCACCTTGAAATTAATTAATGGCAACACAACAACGGCTGCGATAGCATCAGTGCCCGTGTGGTTCCCTCCTTTGTCTGCCCCCCCCGCTCTCTCTTCAGGTTGTCGAGGTGGCCGTCCTGCACGCCATCCAGCTAAAATGGCTGCTATCTCTGAGCCGTATGTGTGGGGTCTGGGCGAGTAATTAATCTCAATGAAGGCCCGTAGCGGAGCTAGGTATGACGGCCCCGGAATTCAATTACCTCACCCCCCCCGTCCTCCCCCGCACGCCGCCATCGCCGGCTATTTCCCCAGGTTAGTATGCGCCACCTGAGCCTTATCGCGCCTCCCCGCCGTGGAGACATTGTCTTCAACGCACGGTCGGACTTTCTGTCATTAGTGGCCCTCGTTTGCAATTAGAACACTCTTGCATCTACTTGCGATGTTGGTGCACCTCTCGTCTTTCCACAGCATCCGCCTAAAGGTAAAGGTCACATTGCAGCCTGGAACAGAGGCCGCAGAGCGTGAGCACGCCGCAGAAGGTCCAACGTCGTCCCCCGCCGGCTCTTTCCCGGGTGAACTTTGAGCTCCGAGTCCGTCCTACGCAATGAACACCGTTGGATATTGATCATTGTTTTCATCCTCATTGATTTCAGGTTGACGATACAGTGTATCTCCTCTTTAATTATCTGCATGGCTGCTTTTTGCAGGACGGGCGTCAATATCACAGAAAGCAGGAGATCACTTTAAACCTGCAGGAGGCTCCTGATGACGCGCGCACACACACACACACACACACACACGTGCATATATACATACGTTTAGATGAGTGAGTGTGATTTCTACAAAGCGTCCTGAGGCATCTGCACGTTATTAAGACTTAAGCTAACTTCCACAAGTGCTCAATGTCACTGACATTACATTTTAGCATCTTATTAAGTTTTCTTCTAATGTTACGTTTATGGAAAGTATCCGAGTGTATTTGATCATTTTTTAATTAGTAATTTCTGAAGTAAAACTACACCGGGGGGCTGCTGTGTACAGTGTATCTGTGAGAGGAGCTCTAATCATATATCTTTCTGGAGCTCAGTGTGCATTCATCTCAGAGTTATTTTAGTTTTTATTAGGTAATTAAATAGCAAATGTTCCTACAGTGGCCTTTGATGGTAATAAACACACGGCCTCTGAAGTCCCACAGCAGAGAACCGATGCTCTCGCTTTCACCTCCAAAGCCCCAGCTGCCTTGAATCAGGTAAAACAAAGGCAGAGCGCGCTGGTTGGGGGGGGGGGGGGGGGGGTACACCCTCCTCCGAAGAGGTCTATTCAAAAAAAAACCTTGATATCACCCGGGGGGCGTGAACGCCGCCCATAAAAAAACAGGGGTTTAATAAAACATGGTTTTCTGTCTCCCCGCCGCGAAAGCTTCCCCCCCCCCCCACCTTGTGTTTCTCCATTTCAACTGGGGCGCAATATACTGGGGATCTTTTTGTGGTTTATTTTTTTATTCCAAAGTTCATGTACAGTATGCATGCACACATTTCCTCCTGGGGGAGCGAGAGCGGCTCAGTGGAGCGCGGCGGCTAACCACACCGGCAGCGGTGGAGGAGGTGGTGGTGGTGGAGGAGGAGCAGCAGATTAGGGGTTTAGCCTTCCATTTTCTTTGAGGCAGCCCTAAAGGTTGCTGGGTAGTTTCCCATTCCCCACTGGGAGAATATCAATCCTCTCTCAGCGATCAGTGATTGTTTGCCTTTGAGCAAGGTGCAACTTTCCAACTTTCCTGCGTAGTCGAATCAATTTCGTGTCGGTCTTTTCGTGGCTTTTGTTCCCAATAAGAAAAAGATGGAATACTACTTATTCTTTAATGTAGTTTTGGTGCCTTTGGCCTTTAAACGCTGCGAGTGCAAATTCTACCCAAATAGTTTTCTTTAAAAGACAGTGAACACGTGACACAAAGAGCTGCTGCCGATGGCTCCTTCGGTAGAGACGCATAGTAACCGAGCGAGGCTCTGCATTTACGCTCTAATGTCATCTTCCTCCACACCAGGACAAGGTTTTCCGAGCAAGCGGAGAGGAGGAACCCCGGAGAAGAAGAGAGGGGCCGGCAGGCATGTAGCAAGCCGAGCGAGAGGACGGCTTCCACCGGGCCGCCTGGCAGCTCATTAGAGGCCGCGTCACAGCGGCGAGGTAAACAAGGCGCTCCGCTGACAGGCCACATAGAGCAGTATTTACCTTTCGCTTGCTGGTGTCTTTTGCACTGGAAGTATGTGTGCAGTGCGTTTGCCTGCGTCTACTCGGCCGCAGCGTGTCAACAGAAACACAGAGAGAACACTGGGTGCAATTACAGAGACGGCGGGACGGACGTGAGGGCGGCGGAGAGCAGCATCAGCAGATCAGGAGGCGCGTTTACACACAAACTACCTGGGGATGTTCAGTGATTTGTAAAAACTGCAGAGATGGAAAGAAATTCCTCGCAAACATGCTTCATCTTTTCATTTGCTTTGTATTCGGTCGCTGGAGAATTGAAGAAAACGAATTAGGCAAACAATCAGTTTCCATCCGTACCAAAGTTAACGTTTCTCTTGTTTGATTTGTCATCAGAAAGGAGAAGCGTCCTCTCTGCTTCGACGAAACCGACACCCTTTGCTGCGGCGTCTCTGGAGCCCCTCTGCGCGGCGTCAGGTCAGTCGCTCGCATGAACCACGTCCGGGCCGCACGCGGCACCTATCGGCTCGACCAAACAAAGGCCCGTCGCAATTAAGGAGGCCTCCTCGCCGCCGACAGCTCGCCTCCTCTTCCCGCCCCCCCCCTCCTCCTTTCTTCTTTTTGTTTTATTCTGACAATTTCCAGCAATTCTAGCAGACACCTTAAGTGCCACTAAGTGATCAAAGATGGGAGTGCATATTGGATAACGCAATTAGGCTTCCACTGAGAGGGGGCAGACACACGGAGAGGGACGCAGCACATAATGGCTCGTAAACAGAGGACATTACGGTGCACATGCAGCCCTGACACCGGATGCACCGGGGCTATTAGCGCCGGGAATCGGGATCGCTTCGGCCCGTCCGGGCCTCCCTTCTTGTGCTGAGAAGTTGATTCAACAAGGCGACGATAGTTTGTTTTTTGGGGGGGGGAGGGGCTGGGGGTACGCGAGAGGATTCCTTCCCCTCGCCCTCCCCCAGCCGTCCTCTCTGCTTGTCATTGGTGTACTTAACAAGAGGACATAAGTGGCTCCCTCTCATCATAATGGAGATCTGAATATAAAGAGTGTGTGTGGGTGGTCGTGGCGGTGAGGGGTGAGTGTTGCGGTGAAGAAAGGAAGTGGTCCCCCCCTCCCTCCCCTCTCTCCCCCTCCAGTGTTAAATGACTCGGGTCAAACGGTCAAAATGAGATTATCAGCGGAGACGCCGCGGCCGCCAGTCAACCTGCTTACCTGACATTAACCCCGGCCTGAACTAACAGGAGGCCCTCGCTGCCCCGGGGAGCCAGATGCTAATTTGAAGCAGAGTTTGCATTTGGGGAGGAGGGGGAGGAGGGGGGAGGGGGGTAATTGTCGAGATGTAATGGGGATCAGTGCTGTGGGAGCTCTCTATACATCTGCCGTCTGGCCGAGACTCACCGCACCTGAGACTCGCCGGCTCGGCTGTGGTCGCGCTCCCCTGTCGGCTTTGAAGCTCGACGGAAGCAGCCTGGCGCCGTCGCTGGCACGAGTCAAGGCTGCGCGCGTGTGTTGTGGTTTTAAATCCAGCTTCAGCCGACTGAGGCCACACTCACGACGGCGAGTGTTCCACAAGGCGCCGCGCTGCAGGATGAGAAACCTCGTCTTCCCCATCAGGCATCGAGAAGACGAGAACACACACAAAGCAGCAGTAGAATGGAAGCCAACATGGAGACATAAATGGAGGTGAGGGGCCGTGAGGGGCCCCGGCAGGTCAGCTCACTTGACTCCTGCTCGCTCGTTGTGTCGGCGCGACGAGGCCGAAGGGAAGCCGCCTCCCGCTCATCTTTAATTCATGCCGTTAAATATGCAGCCGAAGCCGCCGTCGGACGCCGTCAGGGAGCCAGAAGTCGCGGGTTTACGGGTTGGCCAGCGCGAAGGCCGGAGAGCCACTACGCCGCAGCTGAGGGGCCGAGGCCGCTCCGTCCTGCTGCTCCTGAAGGAGGACGGGCGGCGACAGAGATTTAAAGCACGGATACACCGGTGTTTTCTCCCTTTGACCTTTGACCTCCTACATCCTGGTTTTGTTTGGCACACTGATTTAAATGTCTGCAGAGATTATGACAATTCAATGCATTTAATTTGGTACAGCCCAAAAAGTGTGACGTGTTTTCAGATCCCAATCCAGCGTTGACTTAATCCGGTGGGGTTTACGGGGGCTTCTCAGGGGGGGGGTTTAAAGGAGCATGTCAACTCTTATATAAACATGCAACATCAGTGGCTTTTTATTCAAGAGCAGCACCGCTGTAAACGGGGAATAAGCAAAACATGGCGTTCTTTCCTCTGCTGCTGCGTTTGGGAAACGTTTCATCCGTCCGGGTTCAAAGACCTGAGCGGCCTTAAAGTGGACGCCGACTATTGGAGGAAGAAAAGCACAACGGGCCACTCACACACTAATGTTAAACAACGCAGAACCCTCCCTGACAAAAGGGGCCGAGCTCTCTCCCACTCCGCCGTGCACTGCGATGTGTGTGTGTGTGTGTGTGTGTGTGTGTGTGTGTGGGCCCGTCCACGAATGACCCACCGTGCACACGTGTGTCAACACTATCTGCGTGTGCCTGTGCATACATCTCTGGGTGTGAAGAGGCTCCTCATTGACACGCTGCACCTGCATGAGCACAACACGTGTGTAGAGTTACATAAGCTACGCACGGACCAGCATGTGCGCGTGCGTGTGTGTGTGTGTGTGTGTGTGCGCGTGGAGGAAATCACCATTTCAATATAGCTCTGATTAAACTTCCCATTTACCGCGGTGAAAGTACACAGGAACCTTTCCTTGGCAGGTTGCCTCCCGCCGCAGACCGCTGCCAAGCTCTTTGAAACCCAATCAGTTTTAGTCTCTCAGATGGTTATCGGCCCCTAAGCCTCCCCTGGCCCCCCCCCCCCCCCCCCTGCATCAGCAGCCCGGGAAGGAAAAAAGAAAAGGGAAAGAAAGGGGCCGATGGTTGGTGATCCATCAACGCAGCCAGCTGGCGTCGGATCAACAGCCCGCCGAGTCCAGCGAGCACCTGTTGGGAGTCTGCAAGGTGCCGCGCGCTGCAGAGAGTGCACAGCGCGCACAACGCACAGCTCCGAACGGGCGCCGTGGGCTCGTTTCCCTGGAAGGAAGTGAGAGACCTGCCCTCCGCCAGGGATAATTACACCTTCCTGGAATGCTGCTTAAATGGTTTCAAGATTTTTTGCATGATAATAACGTCACGTAGCAGAGAGTATCCGCCACATCATTCATTAGCGGTGGGCTGTAATGTGCAGGCATGTGGTGCCCCGGTCAGTTAGTCACAGTGTCCCAGAATCCCTTGTGCGGTGTGTTCACAGTGGAACGCGCTGATCGGCGTCCGTCAAACTGGACGCGTGTTGTAACATTTTAAAAGGATGTTCCAGGAGCCCCAATTAGTTTTCATTATTTCCAGCTGGATGTTTTTCCTCGTGCGAAAGTTCCCTTCAACCCAAATTCGGCCTCTCCTTTAGATCAGTCCGTGTTCCTTTGACCACTTTGACGTGAACGAATCACTCCGAGTATCTGAGAACATGATGCACCGTCTCATAGTAGCGTCTCCGTCACGTGACCACGCGGCCAAACCAGATTTGCACTTTAAAACCTTTGTGTTTATGTTGTAAAAACATGACACATTAGCACAGGACTGTGTTGCAGGAGCAGGGGGGGCGGGGGGGGGATCCGGTTAGAGCGAGAGTTTGACCGCAGTGACCAGGGAATTAGAGGCAGAGCTTATCCCCGCGTCCGTATCAACATGCATAAGCCCAACGCTCCATTTCAACCCCAGAAACCTGCCGTCCAATCCATCAAAACATGACTCCCGTCGACATTAAACCTCCCTCTCTGCCTGTATTTGTCTTCCTAATTAATTACTTCACATGCCACAGTATGTTTTTCGAATGATAGATGATGGGAAATTATAGCCGCGGTGTCCCAGGCACAGCCGGTGGTAGATTTGTGCAGTCAGCTTCCAGCCTGCATTACCTGAGTAGATCTGGCAGAACGCCCGAGCACTCAGACAGGACGGGGCGGATTTGATTTTTAGTGCGTAAGAGGCTTTTTTAAAAAATGTTTCTAATGCCGGATTTAGTAGGTAAGCACAATCTGTCGCGTTCACCTACGTGATAATATCCAACGAGGACACATCCAGTGTGTGCGTGCAGGAAATCGGGAGCTTCGGCTGTTTGTTGAGGCTTTAGAGGGTGAAATATTCACCATTATGCTGCAGCATCAAGCGGTTGAACAGTCCCAGGTATTTCAGCACAGAGGCTTTTAAATGAAATGTAACATTTTACCATATTTGTTTCTTGTTTATTGACAGTCAATAGTATAGATTTAGTTATTCTGCTCAAGTAAAGGATGACTAAAGAGATATCTGTGAAGGGACTTATCACCTCAGCACCACAACGGAGAAAGACCAAACGGGAGGCAGCGAAAGTTTCTCTGTGCACGCTGGGAGCACAAAAGAGCATATTAAACACTGAAGTTTATCAGTCCAAATTAAGTGTTGAATTCACAGCTTCTTTAATCTTTACGCATCTGAAAACGAGCCCCCCCCTCCCTATGAGCGGGAGATTTACTCGCAAGAGATTTTTACTGAAAAGTAATATGACTGCAGGGGACGTAAAGAAATGGGTATGGGTAGGAAACAACAAACTGCCGAAGTAGCGGTGAAGAAAAGAATTAAAAGAGACCCATTATACACTACCCAGCACCAAAGAGCTTCAGAGAGAGGA